AGGTAAAGAGTACTTGGATCGTGGTGGACGCCACTGTCACTGACTACAACCATGACACCAAGCTCTACACCGTGAAGTACAAGTATGTGTTCCTACTCCATCATCAATAATGATTCCAATAACTAACGACAAGTACAACAACATCATTAATTCTACAGAGATAAAACAACCTTGGGCATCAAGTCTACCAGCACCAGCACAACAAGCACAACAAGCACTACAAGCACTACAAGCACTACCAGCACGAGAGGCAAGAACAACAACACCACTAGCAATGCTGGAAGCACCAAAAGGGCCAAGGTAAAGACAGAACACCTCTGTGAAGTGATTGAGGAGAGATACTTGACTCCTGGCAACCATCTCACCTTGGACATCAGTCAAGCCGAGGCCGGTCAATATACTATATACAAGCCATACACAGGCGGACATTGGAGAGCAGCAACTATATTGTCAGTCGGCCAAAAGGACTTAACCATCAAGCTTCTTCCTTTCGCTGACAATCCAGCTCCAAAAACAATGCCCAATATTAATCCAGATAGGTGTGTCCAACTCCACACAACTTTAGCCAAACTAAAGGAAATGGGTTACTAYATTCTTTAATAAACAAACTGTACATATATATATATATATTAAATAAAAATATTTATTTAAATAAWCTGTGTTTATTATTAATATTTTTGTTTTTTCCTGTATAAATTTCGAAATTTCAGTCCTCCACCTCTCCACAGTTCACTTGATAAAGTGAGAAGCAAATTAAATTGATAATCTTTTGTTCTGAGTTCAAATCCTTAAAATATCATGTTAAATGAATGAATGTGTCCAATTCAAAACAATTTTGACATTTTTTTGTTTTTACACACAACCTGATGTCCAAACAAGGAAATAACAACCACCCAAAGGGGAATCAATAAGGTGAAGAGGTCTTGGAGGGATGAAGTGGATGATGTTGATGTTATAAGCTTCAATGTTATTGTTTAATCAAATGATCCACTGTCTGTATGTATTTGTATTAATGTTATATGTATCATAGTTGTTAATGACTAGTCTATTGAGTCATTGTCAAAGTGATTCAAACAACTGTGAAATTTTGATTAAAATAAATTATTGTTTATTAATATTCTTCCAACATGTGTAAAGTATGATATATTAAGTTAAATTATGATAGTAAGTATATCTGATAGTCGGATTGTTGGTGGGATCTTTATATCAATGAGTTATAAATGTTTGAAAAAGTGTATGTGTTCGAACTTCCATCCCATACAAACTTTCTCTTGAAGAAAAATATCTTTATAAAATTGAAAATATTATTTTTAAATATTAGATTTGATGTTTAGACTATTCTATTCAATATGATAGCCCCCATTGGAGATTTGTTAATGGACTCGCATCAAACTTTTTAGTCTTTKTWGGTAAATCTATTATGATCAAACTAAAACCGATTAAATTAGGAAAATTATTTTAACTTACAACATGGTGTACCTAGCTTACTTCAATCGATGGTATTGTCCCTTAGTTTAATATGAATTGTTATTCAATTTGGAAATGGTTTTTAGAATTTGTCAAGAGTTAACAAGAAAACTTGTATAACATTCAAAACAATACTGAGATATGTTATTTCATGTACCTTGAGTACGCTATTGAATACAATTTCATCACTTTCAAATCTTCGTAAAATCTCCATGAATATGCATTTTTGATCAAATATCAATTTTAATAAAATAACTCGTATTAAATTTAAAATATTACTCTGATATAATATTTGGTGTAACTAGTTTACGCTATTGAAAGAGATAGTCCCAAAGATTATTTTTTAATAGTCTACCACACAAATTTTAACAAMGGATCTTGTATCARRCAACTTCTTCATTTAAAATTTTTTATTGTAAGCTCACTGGCAACTCACTGGCAAATCAATTCAAAGGTTATTCACTGGCTATTCACTGGCTATTCACTGGCAAATCACTGGCAAATCACTGGCTATTCACTGGCTAACTGGATTTTCACTGTCAACTCACTGGATATTCACTGGATATTCAATGGA